AGAGACGGATTTGTGAAGGAGACAGATTGCCCGCTTATGAGTTTGGTACTTAGAGGGACATGTAACAGAACAACGTCACAGTCGCGATATGTTAATTACCTCGCCAGGTATACAGGAGGTCGTGGGTTTGATCCCAACTCTGACGGCTGTATATTTGAAATTTGCATGTTCTTCCCGTGGATTTTTCTCCAGGTTTTCCGGTTTTTCCCACCACATTCAGAACTATGTGTTTAGAGTATTTGGCCACAATACATTTCCACATGATAAGCCACTTCGTTGAGCTTTCATTTGTGCCCAGGTCGCTTCTGTAAAAGTCCAACATAGCTCAGTGGGCCTTACCTGGTAAAATAAAAATAGTAAATGAAATAGTCACTGCCCGAGATCTCTCTCCAAGTAACTCCTTACCCACACCTGCCCTGCTATAGAGAGATATCTTCCTTCCACAGCAGGCAAGAACCCATGCGTTTAACTTAGCCAGACTTAGTTGCGGAGCGAGAATTTAACGTGATGGCTTTATTGAGCAGGTGGCCACGGCAGAGGCCATCAACTCCAAGGTCTCACCAGTGCCAGATCCGCATCGTGACCCGAGCCACCCGGCCACCTGTCATGCGCATCACCGTCGGCGTCATCATTCATCCCCTTTTGCCAGATTATTAAGCGGCAATGGAGCCGTGTGAATGTCCACCCCTGGTTCCTTTTGTCAGGCCAGTATGAATGCTTCGCTCGAGCTCATGAATGTCTGCATCTCTCCACCCAGTCTGTGTTTGTCTTCCCCTACTTAGATTTCCTTCCACATCTGTGTCACATCGTCAGCTGTTGGATCCTGGCCGGGTTCATTGTGTAGTCTTATTCTCTTGACACTTTCTCATGAGGTGTTTTCAGCCCGAACTATCTACTGCGCTCCATAATAGAGGGTTTTTTTGGGGGGGTTAGATCGCGTAAATATAAATGTGTCGTTAAACCCGCGGGTGGTGGCGGGTTTAATGAAAAATTGTGAATATTGGTCGTAAAAGCCAACATGTTAAACGTATCTACTAGACTACCTCAAGTTCTTTAATTGCCATGCAATATCGTACGGCACGCTTCGATAATTCCCTACAGAAACCAGCTGCTGGCTACAGGAACTGGTTGGTGGGTGCTGTTTGCTGGAATCACTGTCATAAGGTCAGGGACTGTGGTGGCTAATCACGTGGCCTGTAATCCAGCACTGTGGATACAGCAAGGGTTGTGAAACTCCCTTCCTAAGGGTGTAGAGATGCATTAATCGGTCCGTAACACCTCGATCTGTCGAGGACTGCAGAGCTTGGGCAATTCATGACACCGCCTGCTGCCTTCCGACTTTTCTTCGGTTCCCCGCGCCTCTGAGTTCTCACAGAGACGCTCTGAATCTGACTCAGTGGAGAACATTGCTGACCAGCACTCTTAGCTATCAAGCTGCCCTGAATGGTTTAACGGAGTTAATCAGCTTCAGTAACCCACCATTCACCTAAACTTCCATTGTTAAACAATGACAACATTAAATGCAAACCATGCTGGAGTAATGTATTTAAGTAATTAACTACGTAAAGGTTTAGCGAAACGGAAGATATATATTTAAATGCATATCCTCTGGAGTGTTTGGACAATTCCTATGATGATATATTTGCTTGTATGTACGTACGTGCGTATATGCCGGGGGCATTCTGAGTACCCGGAGAATACCCACACAAACGTGGGAGATAACCCTCAAGCCTTGACTGTGAATATCGTCGCCAGATGCCATCGGTTGCAAAGGGAATTATCCAAACGCACCTGAGTAGAATTTTTATTTTAAAAAAATGTTTTACGGCATTAACATCGATTCATCAACGACGTAACCTGTTATTTTCTTTATTTAACTTGTGAATGTGCTGCAGTTGATGACTGGCAGAAATGTCAACCCCTTGGGCTCGTCGCATCGTAGTCTCAGCTTACTAACAGAACTCAGCATTAACGATCACACCGTCTTATCTGCAGATGAAGAGGCGCGTTCGTCATTTATATATAAAGCGGGCGAATCCGAGACGCGCTTGGATGATGCTATAGGCATGCGCGTGTGGGTAGACGCATTGATTTATGGATGGGCGGATGGACGGAGAGAGAGAGATTTGCTTACTTACCTCGGAGTAATTACTGCAAGCCACCCTTATTGCTCACTGGCTCACTTATTTATAGATATCCATACTCGAGGATGCATGATGCTGTCGCTTTCGCAGATTGTCAATTCACTTCCTTTGACGGTCCCAATGTGTAATTTCTGCAGAACATGGTTCATCTCATCAATTAAAGATTTACCATCCCGTGACAGTGACTGTTAAGACAGCGGGCGTCATTCACACACATCGGCAATTGCGATTGTCATCGCAGATATGTGAACATTGCCTGCAGTTGTCAATGATCATTGTTGATTTATACGCAGTCCCTGCTTTCCTTGAAAGGCGCTCAAAATCACCGGTCGCAATTTAGGTGAATACATGGTTTGATGCAAGGCAATGAGTGTCTACGTACCCAGATGATTTATGTGGCAATGTTCATGTGCATTGGCAACTCTGTGTCCCCGTGATGGAAATTCCATATTCCTCTTGTAGGGGGCCAGTCTGTTACAAAGGACAACTGCTGGTGAAATAAAGGATATCGATTCATATATACTGTATAAAGACTATAAACCCGAAATAATTGTAAAAAAAGATGCAAGTGAGCTCCCATTGAGATAAATTAGTTTGCATACAAATGATTTATTGACAGGATATTAGAGTACACTTTTCCATATTGATATAGCAATAACATAGTACAGTGTTGCGTGTTCCTGTATTTGGTCATTAAACAATTATCATGCAATGGATGGACTCACCCCCGTCATATGAATGTGGATTTGTCCACGATTGGCGCAGGGCTATAAACAGACGATGAGCACTGTGTGACCGCTCCATCCCAAGCTGTTGACACGCAGTGGCTTTATTCCAATTGCAGCATGCTGTATACAGATGCAATCACGTTGGACATAGGGGACAGTGTTTAAAGAGCGATAACACAATGTAATGTTACCATTACCAATTACTGTGATGTATATGTTTATTGAATAACGTTACTAATATTACAGAGCATTTAATGAAGAACATGTCCCTAATGGTGGTAGTCACAGGCTGTAATGTATTATTATTATTATGTACATTGTGATTACCCCAGCCTGCATGTCCAAATATGTAGGTCAACAGTGAAAATGAACACAGTGGTCCTGCATTATGGACAATGGATATTCGCACAGCGTGGGGCTAATAAGGTTAATTGGCTAGGACTCCCAAATGTCTGCTTCCACTAACGGATACTCCGGCTCGTACACTCAACGTGCGTGCGTTCCTTGGGACGCGGCAGCGGTGCAACGGCTAGCGGAGATCGCCGGTTTTTTGGAGCGGATCTCACCGCGCAGGCGGTGAAGAAGCGACGGCGCAAGTTTCTTGAATCTCTCCACGCACCCTGCCCACCACGCCGGCTCTGACCACCTGGCAGATATTTAAAAAAAAACGGAAACAGCACAGTTAGTTAATCGGCAGGCGAAGTGTGGTGGGGTAAAGTGCGGGTACTGCCACATCTCGCAGGATGTGCAGCCAGTGTGGAGGTGTAGGCCAAAATGCCCTCTGTAGAGGGACTTTTTATTTTATTTTTGGAGGCCTTTCTGCCAGCAGTGGCAGTGAGCAGGGAAATGCAGGGCTGCACCTTTAACTTGTATACGGTCCATAAGTGGATTGCATGCTGAGGACGTATAATGCAGCACATAGTGAATTCGATTAATTCAAATGAAATGTTTGTATGTATGTTGAATTCCTCTCGCACCGTAATATGAGCAAATGCATATTGTATACAATAACAAACTATATATGCTTAAATGCATTCAGACTATTGGACAACCCCTTAATGAGTATGGTGTGCATTGGAGCAAAATATTCCTTAGAGAAAGCCCATGCACACAAGGCAGTAGACACGCGTAAAAACAATACATATAGAGGAGTCCACGGCCTACTTGCTGGACTGTCATCTACTGGCCACCACGTATGCCAACGGATGGGTGGGTGTCTTGTGCATTCAAACAAAACTCTGTGCGACTCATGAATCCCAATCCAAAAGTATGAATCCAGTAGCAGCGCGGCTCTTTGTCAGCTTCTATCAGCTTAAGTATAATAGTACTGCGCTGGGGAGGGCGAGAGGGTGAGGGGGGGCTAAAGGGCGAGGGGGGGGGCATTTATCACAAGACTCCAAACTATTTAAAACGTTGGGCTGATCCTGCCCTTTGAGTGGAACCATGTATCCTTGAGGCCATGCCTTTTGGAGGCCCATATTCAAAATCATTGGTTTTGGACTATATTTGTGCCACAGCTAAGCTTTCTGACCCCTTCTAGAACATCATTGGAATTGGCATGAGACACACCCAGTCAGAATGTCTTCATGTTATTATTGTCCGTGTACTGACCGTGCTTAACTTTTATTGAAATATCAAATGGCTAAAATACGTATCAAATAGTGAAAATATTAATTGGGCAGGATGTAAATGTGTAATTTTCAGCACTGGTTCAGGGCCACCATCAGAATTGAGAAACGTGGCGTTGTACACGACCCAGAGGCTTGTAGTACACCACGCCGCATTGTACGCGCATTTATACATTCAGCACATACGCTGCGTTGCATCGCCGTTCACAGGGGAGGAACCGACGCCATATATACTCTGCACACCGTTACATGGAGGACATTAGCAGAGAACGTTAACACTCCCAACTCAGCGCGCGGCTCAACGCGATAAGTCGTGCGGCGGCTGCGATCACACCCCGGTACCAACCCAACACCCAAGTCAGCCCTCCCTCATTCTTCCCCCAGCACAGCTAGCCACCCTCCCTCCCACATCGTCACCACCACCACCACCCCGTGTCTCCAGCCATGCAACCCCCCCCCCCGCCACATCCCAATCCAAAGCTAGAGCCCACCCCCACCGCTATCCCACAACACCACCACCACCACCACCCCCAACCTCCAGCGCTGCCTGTCATTCTCGCGAGGAGCTCGCTCCTTTTGCCATTACGCGAGTCGCGGGCTGCCGCTCAATAATAGCGCCGGATTCGCAGGTGGCCGTGCAGGCAGCAGCACCCCCCTTCCCTTCACACGCGAGGCAGCAAACGCCCGTACGGGTCTCACGGACTGGACGGAGGGGGAGAGAGTGACCCGGCAAGCGAACCGGCCCGTCCGCAGGAGCCTTTAGCCGGCGGGACTGCCCAAGCCACCGTGTGAGTTTCGTGAGCCCAGCGAGACGGGGAGAGAAAGAGAGGAGAGAGGAGGGGGGGAGGAGAGCATCGATATCTGCAGTGAGGTTTTTAAGCAGCCGGTTTCTCTGCCAGCAGAACTCAGTGGAGACACAGTGGTAAGAGAGGGTGGAGGAGAGAGAGAGGGAAGGGGATAGCGGTAACAACTGGCCTCTATGCAGTATGAATTAAACGGCTGCGAGTTTGAACAACGGCAGCTGACTCGACTCTGACAACGCCTTCAATCCACTGCAGCCGGGAGTGGAGTTTGGAAGAAAAATAAATCAAACGTCAAGATAGAGCAGAAAACAAGCAACCGAACGTGTTCTTCTCTGTGTTTCTTCATTGAACCCGACGTTGAGTTGTGTAAAAACTTCTGAAAGTCAAGAACTTGCACGTGAGTTTTTTTTCCCCAAGGAATCTTTCGTTGCTCTCAATAGTATCCGCGCTGTTTCTTTTTTCATTACCGTGGTAGTTGCGTGGCACGCGGTGCGTTTGCCTGTCAATGATTGTGACGAAAGTGTTTAATAGGGGTGGTAATACGGACACTTAAATCTGATGCAATTGCTTTGCTGTTTCGAAATCATTCTGAATTGAGATTGGCACTGGCAATGAATCGGAGGTTACGGGCAAAAAATACGAAGAGGCGTTAATTTCGAGAAGAAACAAGGCATGGATGTTACCTGCCCGTAATTGCCATCGATCTAATAATAATAGTCCTCCATGCGATGAAATCACGGCGGGCAGTGAAGTTTTTCTTGACATAGTCTCATACCGCGTCGTATGTATTTATGTTGGACTTCTTTCGCACCGTACATAGCCAACTACGCTAATCGTAGGTGCGTTCTATCAGTTCACATTTTGAATGCGTGCAAATAAAATTACTACTTGCAATTTTGTTGAGCGGGAGAAGATTTTAAACATGATCGCTGTGGAATCGTAATAACGATGCCTGTACTCAACATGAGCGAGCATACATTCTTATTTTCTTTGTACAAATTGTCATTGTTTTGGTTATAAGCCGGGTATAATATAGCCACAGTAATGAGCACCAACCGTTTCCCTTATTTGTAATGCTGTGTTATTGTAAATATTCACAAATGTAATGGCGTCGAGTGCATTATACGGAGCCTCTTATTAGAGAGAGAGCGCATTCGCGAAGTTCTGCACACGAACGCGTTTAAACAAGAAACTGAACCGTTTAGTTTGATCAAACACGAGACGGCAGCCGTAACGAATGTGAGTGGATACAATCTAGTGTACATTCCTATTCCGCGTAATAGCCATCGCTGAGTAAAATGTGAATCTCAAACTCACCGCATCCACTTTTTGGTGGGAGTAGGGGCAAGGTAAGATTTTTTTTTATCTCGGTGGCTTTTCGACTATTGAAATAAAATAAAAAAAACGTGTTTTACCATTCTGGTCTAACGCACTTCATTCCTTAGTGACATACTCTCCAGTAAAACAAAACGCACAATCTAGCGATGTTAAACGCGCCGAGAACAAAATAGAGCTCTAAAACATAATGTTGTGATAACTCTATAATGTAGGCGTTTTTTTTTAAGTGCTCTCCATTGTAATGATGCATTTTACTGAGTGTGTTAATATCGACGCTTGTGCCACAGTGAAAATAAATAAGTAATACAACCCAACACGCTCCTCAGCAACACTGCCTTCAGAGAAATGAACGATGTATGATTGGTGACGTTTCGGGCAATGGCTCTAAGGCAGTGTTGCCCGACGAGCGGGTTGAGTTTGCGTGTTGATTGTACTTGCTGCACCACTGCGAAAGCTGCAGAAGCATAGCCAAATAATTCGTGAAAATAAAGCTCGCAAGCGATTGCGTGTTCTAATGTTAGTCTCAAACCCGCAAAACCTGACGTGTAAATGAATACACATCCTTCCTGCTAATTACCATGTTATATATGTACACACACAGCATACATTTACAATGTGCTTCTACAGTATTGCCATGCCTTAACGTTATCCAATAGGCTCTATTATAATAATGATATAGTAAGACCGTGGCTCATGAGCACATGCTCCAAAAGTGTATGCAGATACAGCTCTGTAAGTTTACACACGCACCATGTCACCACTGCATGAATTTTTTTTTTGTTCAAGGACCCTGTGTTTCGCATTGGTGTAATTACACTTTTTACAACCCTTATTGCAAATCTTGCAAAATATGAATATAAAATTAGTGGTGTGATTTTTTTACAACCATGTTTATTAGCCCAACATGAAGTATATTCGTATTGTTACACAATACGATTTTAAACAGCCACATCGCGAGCATTAAATGTGGCATTACGACAACGTGTACAATGTTAATCTTACTTACGCACGCGGTATTCATGGTCATTATCGCCGCTGTGGAAAGTTGCCTGGCATACGCTCGTAAAAGTAGCGAGCTCGCTTCCCAGCCAAGGGTTGAATCGTCCCCATCATCCCCGGAGGGTCAATAAAATAGGCATCGCGGTGGGAATTTCCTCTGGGGAGGACTGGTCCCCGGGCCATTGAAATGTGTAATTTCCCACTCTTTCGGCTCAGTGTGTCCACAAAAGGCACGGGCCACTGCCCATCTCTCTCGCACTTGAGCAAGAGACACAGACGCATCTCTTGACGGCTCAACTTCCACGCAGTTCGTGTCGCGCCGCTTTTGCACGCTGCCGCGTGGCTCTAGCGTTGCCGAAATAAAATAAAATTTAAAACAGTCCCTGCAATTGTCGCCTCTTCGAGTCAAACGCTTCATGAACTCGGTCGAGATGTACGTGTATATATATAAAATAGCAATGTCCGTCTGGGACTATTAAATATCCATCATTATTCCATACGCGCCAATCTCTGTAACGCCACCGGTAATTGTGTTTTATGCCATTCCGCCCGCGAGGGTATAATTGCTTTCGCAGCGCGAGAGTTTGCTCAGAATTAGAACGGGGGGGGGAGGGGGGGGGGGTGGCGGCAAGAGGAAGGGGGGCCCGAGTGTCCTTCGACGGCTCACGCCACGGCGCGCTGGCGGTCCGTTTAAAGGGAGCAATCGCAGCACGTGGCTAAAGCGATGATTACTTTGGGAGGGGGGTTACACTATTTTATTCATTTTTAGCAGCAGTTTTTTTAATATCTCCGCACAGCCAAACAGATTCACACGGCTGGACCAAAACCGCTGCACCCCCCCCCCCCCCATTCTCTCCCTCCCCCCCCGCCCGCCCCCCACCGCGCTCTTTAAATAGCCCAATGCCCGATTGCGCGTAGCTCCGAGTCAAATGCGGCGAATTGCCTCCTTTAAAAGCCGGTGGGGCGACCCTCCGCTGTGCACGGCTTAATAAGCACGCGGGTCGCTCCGCGCAGGTGAACGCTCCTTGGGCCGGCGCGCCAACGTGCCGAGAGGACGCTCGCGCCCAGCGTGGAATTTCGCCAAAATGAATATTGGGGGAGCGGATCCCCCGTAGGCGCAGCGTGTGCACGCCGGACGGAGTTGTTCGTCGAATTACCTAAACCGCGGGAAAGGAACTGTTGGCGTCGAATGTCGCCGGTGTGCCGTGCCTGATTTTGGGCCGGTTTGAGGATCCTTTTGAATAAGAATTGCCGCCCTGGGGTGGTGTTCCGACGGCATTGCCCCCGTCGCTAGAATTTAGAAGGTTGCAACTTCAAATCCTGGCCGCGTATCATCTTGGCGCAGTTCGCAGAACGTTAACAATGAATGAGGTACGGAGGAGCAAAGAATAATCCTGCCGTGGGAATGTGGAAAATCGCACCATCAGTTCAGGGCAACACGTAAATTACAAGCAGTTATTTTCTTGTTTCATTTTCACTGTCGCGTTTGTATTCTCACGTTTTTATATCTAATGTCATCTCCTCGTCTGTACCATTATCCCAAAAGTACCCAATAGGATTTGATTATCAGATAACAAATCTTGCATAATACCTTCTCACACCACAATTCAGTTCATGCAGCCCCACCATCAGAATTTAATTAAATCCAGAATTAAGGTGATGCTAAAAAGTTAATCAGCGGACATTAACATAATCTAATGCATACTCTGCTTCTTTGGTTACCGCATGGACAGACAAGTCCGCTGCAATGAAAATGCCATAGTAATGTGGAATTTCCATGACTGGATAGTGTTTATCTCTTGCGGGCAACTACAATACTTCTACGATGTGTCGTCGGATTGCACCGATGTTCGACGTTACGCTTCACAGACTTTCTTCTGGAACTGAATGTGCGGTATAATCGGACAACTCGACAGAGGGCTTATCCAGCGCAGCCCCGATAACCTACGCAGCAGCCGCAAGAGATGAGCACCACCCAACACGGAGATACCTTTACAACGTTGCAGTGGTGGCCAACACCACACCCGGCCGCCTTTGTCTCCCCCGTCCTGACGTTTACATGCCATAACAGGTACTCAGTTTAAGGCTGAGTTTACCTTGCGGGAGGCCCAGGACCAGATTCAGATATTCGCCACTTATTAGTCGTGAGTGGGAATCAATCTCAGATTGCTTGGTTCGTAGGGCAAGCGTTGATAACCACTGCACTACCGTTCCCCACCATATATATCACACACACACCTTTCCTTTGCAGCTCAATTAGGCAATGTATCTGTGCCGCGATTCTCTCTTTGTCCATTAGGTCTATAAATAAGGGTTCCTTTACACCAACAATTAAAAATAGACTCAGAACAATTACAGCGAGTACGCAAGATGGGCCTTTCCACTAAAGGTGTATAATTATTGTTGTTCGGCAGATTACAAGGAATACATACGTAGTCACTTTTTTCTTTGTTTATACGTTCTTATATTGTAGATGTCTAAAAATATCAAAACAGTTACTAATGAACTACGAGTGAGTCGTGTATCCAGTCACGTTCAAATAAAATTCTATTTGTGCTTCAAATAATCAAATATTTTTACGAAGGTTTCAGCGGTTAACGCTTTGAAATGTGCATATTTATACTTGCAGTGCATGCAAATGCACTTTGTAGCGTTGTACAATAAAGCGTCACCCGTTTTGTGGAAGAAAAAAAAAACAGGGTCTTCGTCATTCATCCCTCTTCGCAAAAGGACACGTTAATATTCACTAGCTTTGTCCGTGCAATGTTGTATTGAACAGGCTTCAGTGCTGTATATTTAATGTTTTAAAAGAACCTAATACTGAGTCCCATTTCAGCTATTAGAGTCGAAGGAAGCCATAGCAGCGGTGGGATTTTTTTTCGTAGCATGTCCCTACGATCGGTCAGTATGGTGTCTACATTGTGTTGTGAAACGACCCTGGAAGATAGTTAAACGGTGATGAGATGTTAACTACCTCGCCTGGTATACAGGAGGTCGTGGGTTCGATCCTGTCCCCTGACGCCTGTGTATTTGGATTTTGCATTTTTCTCTCCTCATGGTCGCGTTGATTTCTCTCCGGGTCCCTCCACATTTAGAATCAACATCACCAGGCGTTCAGCGTCTTTGGCTGCTGCTATAAATGTCCACGTGATAAGTGACTTCGTTGTGCTATCATTTGTGGCCAGGTAGCTTCTGAAAAAGAGCTACGTAGTTCAGTGGGTCTTACTTGGTAAAATAAAATAAAAATTGAGTTTATAGATTCAAATGGGACTTGAGATGTCTCTTCAGGAAGCCTTTCCTAAGAACAACCGCTAGATGGCAGATTAAGTGGTCTCGATCGCTAAAGTATATCAATACACAAACCAAATAGAGATATGAAGTATATATGAATGTAGTGTCATTCCCTTGTTTGTGTACCGACCATCGTTACAATAACTCACTTGGCATTCTCACAGACGCTGCGGTATGTGGCAACATTTGGCAAATTATTCCGTCGGGAAAACCCCATGCAATAAAAAAGAGGTATGTTAATATGCGTTGCGTGTATTACGCATGAAGTGAGATCTTAAAGATGATCTGGTTATATGGTATTGTGGTCATACCACAGCTGATAATCGGAAGGTTGATAATTAAAACCTTGGTCAAGGCATAATTCGACCTATCTTCCTTATAGACGTATAAAATGTGTACAACTTTCGGAAAAGCCTACATTGGTTGTCCTGTGGAATGACTGGTCCTCGTCACAGGAATATGGCATGTCCACCACTGGCCCAGGAGCACAAATGGATGTGAGCACCGCACAAAGCTCATTTGAACTGATTTGACACTGATTTGTGGCTAAAATGCACGGAACTCGTAGCAAAATCGTATTCTCGCAATCATTTGCCGTGAGCAACAAACATAAGGGTACGTGAAGAACTTGTTTATATCGGTGGCCATCCGATATTCAAAACCAAGGATCTTGTGTGGTGCATTTTTTTTTAAGTGCCCACTTGGGATATAAGCCCTCTGAGCTGCCCGGCCATCTAAATGTCCCGCAAGCGTTTAGCTCACACCGTATGCATGCTCGCCCGCTCGCCCGGCTGTGATTCCCCTGCACCTTGTCACTTACCGCCTCGTTCTTGTGTTTTCGCTGCAGATTCTTCCACGTGGGATGCATGGAATCGGCATCATCGGCAACCCTGTAGCCAATGCAGATCACTCCATTTCCGCGTGCTCCAGGTCAGACGGCATTTCCTTTGTGCTATTGTGCACACATTATGCTCTCGTATCAACGCAACCTTAATAACCCGACACCGCCAGGGCACCTGTTAAATATCAGCAGAGCAAAGGAGGGAGGATGGTGTAGCTGGTACCGTAACGCACCCAGCCAAGCTGATTTTTGAATGCACCTCACCAGGTATTACTCACGCACTGAGTAGACTGATGGCAGGTGCAAGAAATATTCGTATTCTTCTCATGTACGTGTTTATTTTCTTACACACATCCATGGATGCATGCATACACAGACGCAACACGCATGGATGCGTGTCTCCCATCAATTACTGCAATGTATCTTGCCGATACGTATCCGTTCATTTACCCATCACATCGTTTACCATTTGATCTGCATTGGTATGTATAGCGTAACGTTAGCAAAGTGGGATAGCTCGTCTCTCCAGTCGTGGTCCTCCTGCTCATAAACCAAACGGCTTTCATGCAAAATAACAAGTTGAGCCTTCATTGCATATATTCTACGTGCCCCATATGAATGCAATATTCAGTTGTGAAACATTCGGTTTGGAAAGTGTCATTGAGTCTGAAAGACTTGTACAGAATGATCCTGAAAACAAAAAACTACTGAGCTATACAGCTCTTTTTTTTAGAAGCAACCTGGCCACAAATGATAGCTCTACGAAGTAGCTTATCACGTGGAAATTGAGAACAGCCAAATACTCTCAACGCATGTTTCTAAATGTGGAGGGGAAAAACCGGAGGACCAGGAGAAAAATCCACACAACCACGGGGAGAACACGCAAACGCCAAATATACAGGCATCGGTTGTTTGGCCAATTCCTTTAACGAGTATTTATTGCAAGTGGGAGAAATCTGCAGGGACTGGAGAAAACCCAAGCACGTGACAGGATAACTTTTTTTTTTTCAAAAGTAATGGCATCAGGAGAAGTGCAACGGTAAGATGAAATGACATTTGGCTGTTGAGATTTGCATTCGGAAAGATAAAATCGAGATGATGTTTTCAAAATACTGGCCCACCTGGTGAAGGGCATTCATTCATTCACTGGTTATTAATACAATACCACTAAGCACCGCTGAAAACGAAACTGGCGAACAGACCTGCCATTGCAACATAGACAGAAAACACGAATTGAAAGGTGAGTTGCATAACAGTAATATCACCTCGTAATGACAGATGTCAAGGACAGTCACTCTTTGCCATTGTGTGGAGGAAAAAATTAAATATCTGTTACAGATGCAATATTGTTTGGTAATTAAGATATGCCGTCCGTTATTCAACAGTGCGAGATAAGCGTAATCTCCAATTCCCAGTGCCAAATTGAACCACAACGGGCTCTATAAACTCTCTACAAATTTAACCACTCCGGACTCTTTAACTCTCTACAAAAATGTTGTAGAGTGGCGAGATGCTAACTACCTCGCTTGGTATACAGGAGGTTGTGGGTTCGATCCCGACCCTGACGCTTGTTGTATATTTGGAGTTTGCGTGTCACTCTCTCTCTCTCTCCCCGTGGTCGCGTGGATTTTTCTACGGGTCCTCCGGTTTTTCCCTCCATATTTATAGACATGCATTTGCAGTATTTGGCTACGAAACATTTCCATGTAATAAGCCACTCCGTAGAGCTATCAGTTGTGGCCAGGTCGCTTCTGAAAAAGAGATGTATAGCTCAGTGGGCCTTACCTGGTAAAATTAAAAAAGTATTTGTAGTTTAACTTGGGATGAGTTTCAGATTTAAACAATGTAAATCATTTTGATTTAAAGCTTTCGTGACTGCAGGGATTCATATTCTTGGTCCTTTCGGTAAAGTCACGTAGAAGAGAAACAATAAAATAATAAAAAATATAAAACGATAAAATTCTCACGACGTTTCGACTGCAACACAAGCAGTCATAATCAGGTGTGATGATGACTGCTTGTGTGATGATGATTGCTTGTGTTGCAGTCGAAACGTCGTGAGAATTTTATCGTTTTATATTTTTATTATTGTAGTTTCCCTTCTACGTGACTTCACCGAAAGAACCAAGAATATAATGTAAATCATGTTGGCATTCTAAGGTAAATTACAGTTTTTTTTATTCTTTTCAGATTCGTCAGGTAATTAACATTATGCAATAATTGAAATTGTCTTCCTGATATAACACGATTGATGTTGCCCGATGCCTCATGGCAACACTTTATCGGATTGTCTGGAATTTCGTGTCGAAGACTGATTTTCGGATCATTTGGATTCATGAGAAAGAAAAAAATCCGGAACCCATCGCGGATACCTAAATGTCATAGCTTTCAAACATGCCGTCATCATCATGTTAAAGGTTTCTAAAAATATGTTTCATCATTCAGCTATCTGTTATTATTATTCAGTCAAGTCAGCATTCTCATTGTTAGTAATAAACGTAAAAATATTGAAAAAACGGTTTTTATTTTCCCCAAATGGCATATTAGCTGAAGTATTGACTGACGTCCATTTTTCTTTTTCAGTGTCATTTCAATTCCCTCAAGGTTTATATTTAGCATAATGTATGAGGCTCATTAGTATATATGTATTTTTTATCATTTTCAGGCAGTCATCACATTTCTTAGCAAAAGGATACAGACTTACCCAAAGCTTTTGCGGGAAGCTTTTAATGTTTACTTCAGTAAATTGTTGGCATTGCGAAACCAAAATTCGGTAAAACTCTGCATTTGATAACGCACGTATATATTCTTGTTCGGTTTTCATTTTCTTTCAATGAGAAAACGTCGTGATTTTTTTCTCTTTCTTTTCGAGGTGCCAATTTGCTTAAGGCCATTGCGGAACACACTTCACCCGAATGTAAACACCGTCCGATCCAATCGCACGCAAGAATTTGCAATCACACGATTTCACCTGCCCTAACAAGGATGGCCATCACGGCGGAATGGCCCACAAATCAAACTCGCCCCTGGAAATGGCACCTGTTCCCTTCAGACCTCTGAAGCTAAAACAGGTTCGAGTCTGGGACAGTGCTTGGGTTGGCAGAACACCACGCACAAACCGGGTGACTGTAGGCTGTTGCGGGGCCACGTGGTGCTCGGGTTGGAACCCACGACCTCTTGTTAATCTGGTGAGGTATTAACATCTCGCCGCCACGGCAAGGATGTAGAATTCTTCGTAATTTCGCAGTGAAATTGGAGTACCCGCAGCATGCGGGTTATAATGCAGTGTCATTGCACGTTGACTGCAATGTTTCGAACATCCTGCATTTTGTATAATCCGATATAAACTTTCAGCACGTTTTTATCTTTGTCAACGCACTTATGAGTTGCAATCGATACACATAGATGGCATAATCAAAAATGCACGCTCACACGGGAGGATAATTACTGTTATTACACAATTTGTTCATTGGCTTTTATACAAACGTTAAACCAAACACAGCATAACATCATTGAGTGAAAATATATGAGGGTGGCGTTACGCGCGCTCGCATATACTGACGTCTACATGCTATGCAAAAACATCAATCTGTTACCGAAAATTGTTGCTCAATACTATTGTCCTGCTTTCAGACTTCCTCACGCAGTGTTGGGTAAAGTCAATCATTATCTTCTGCGTCTCATTGCCAGTGGAAAGGATATTATATTCTAAGTGCTGGATGCATTTCTGTTAAGGCACCAATACTCATAGACTGGACTCAAAGTCGATGGGCAATGAACAGTGTTCCAAACCGTTGACTTTCAGAGTCATTGGTAGAAGTTATACATATTTTTTTATTGCTTATATATTTATATATAATCAATACAATTTGTGTTTGTTATGTATGGACCCAACACATCGTGGACTTATTGTGAAACGAGGTCGTCTTGATGTAATTTCAAGTTAAAGTGTCTCGATTGTGCTACTTTAAATCGTTTGCACCGAGCCAATTGTTGGGGAGTCCTCATTTCTGCGGTTTCAGGTGAATCTATCTATTGGGCAGCCACTGCCGACTTCACACGAAGTGGTACTCACTTTATCGATCCTGGAAGGATGGGCTAATGCAACCTTGAGCGGGACTTGAACTTACAGCCTTCTGATTTTGAGTGACAGCCTCTAACTCCAATACCACTTTGAAAGACACGGCGATCATGATAAGCTATATCTTCTTTACCTGAGACATTCTCCGAGTATGTAGACTTTTTCCATAAGTTAGTTCTTTAGATATTTTAGCAAATTGGCTAAAAGACGGCTTTTGCAAACTGGAAGGAAACCATGAGATCTGTAAGAGACCCACACAAATGACAGAATAACACTCACAATATCCAAAGAGATAGGTCTGCAACTGGCACATAGTGGCGGTTCACGTCTCCTGCTTGTGAGTGTCTCAAGCATAGCGTGGCTCCATCTGTGTACGATTCACCAACTCCCACCTCCACGACGCTTGATAACAGGAAGGCATTGGCACAGCACCCAATTATATACAATGATATACAGGAGAACCCCTCTTAACGACCACCCCTGCCAACGACTTAATCGCTTAACGGCGGGGCCTCCATAGAGCCCAGTGTGTTCGCTTACCGACCATTCCCCCTGTTAACGACGGGCTTACGACGAGCACGTGACCGCCAATATCGGCCAATCGGCGAGCTCCAAAATGGTCTGATCAGGCCTCGGCCAATCAGTGACGTCCATTCATAAGCGTTGAGGCATTGTTTACATTCGCCGTCTGCTGCACCTTGATGTGGAAACATCTCTTTTTAATTCTTGGTGTACTGTATTTCCTATACCCGCTTCACGACCATAACACTTCACGACATGTTTCGTGGAACCAATTACCATCGTTAATAGGGGTTCTACTGTATGCACATGTCTGTTCATACTGAAATATAGATCATTTACCATGCATGTATAACATGCTCAAAATATTTTGGTCACTCATGCATTTTCCCACGTTAACATCAACTGTTTTCCGAATTGAAGATGTCACGACGAGTATTCAGGGCTCTTTGCTACAAAAGCATTTTGAAATTTCTTATCAACCCCGTT